CAGCACAAACGGAGAAAGCATCTGAAGTCACTAAAGGTCTGTTAAAAGAGATTAGATTTAGGCTTCTGAACTCATTTTAAAGTGATAATGATGCCACCTTCATGGCAAATATTACACAGGAAATCTCAAGGGCCTTAGGAATTAATTGGAAAATACACACTGCATGGAGAGCACAATCTACTGGAAAGACTGAAAGGATGAATCATACTTTAAAAAGGACTATTGCTAAAATCTGCCAAGAAACAAATTTTACCTGGGCCAAAGTGTTAGCTGTTGCCCTGCTGTGAATCAGAAATAGCACCCTGAAATAAGGTCCAATTATGTCCGTTTGAAATTTTGTATGGGAGACCATTCCAAGTCTCACCCCATCAGGCTGACCCACAAATTCATATATTTATTTTTTTGGTGCAAAAATGTGGTTTTATTAAAGCACAGGACAGAACCTGTGAGCAAAAAGAGCTGCCCCTGACCTACAAATATTAAAGGAAATAGCTGTAACAGGGTCTGTAAAAGCTTTGGGTCACATGTTCATTTCTATCTGTAAATTTGTTTCTAACAGGTCACATTATCCTATGGATGCCACTACACCCCTTCAGACCCGGAGACCAAATATACCTGAAATTGTGGCAAAAGCCCTGCCCTGACAAGAAACTTAAAGCCTGATGTTTACAACACACTCCCCCATCAAACTCACTGGAGTTAAACCTTGGGTGTCAAGAACAAATGAGAGGAATCCATTAATCAGCAGTGCAAGCCTGTAGAAGACATAAAATTCTATTCACAAAAACTAAGTGATGCACAGCTGACTTCCATTTGTAATTTGTTTTGTGTTTTTTGCTCTCACAATGCTTGTTTTCCTATTAATTCAAGATGTATGCTTGCTGCCCCCAATTTTAATCACTTCTTTTGCCATGATACTAATCATTCTTTGCCTTATGGATATGCTTACTGCCCTTTTCCACATGAGCCTGGAGAGACAATTCAATGGTAAGACTCTCTTAAACTCTAGCTAGAAATGGGGACTTAACTAAGTGGTGGATCTTTCACCCTAAATTGCATGAATACAGTGACCACCCCTCCCCTCCTCCCCCAGTGGTACCACTGACAAACTTTACTAAGAATTCTTCTAACTATACAATCTGGTTTGACAGGCCTACTCTTCTCGATTGGAGCTAAGATAATTAAGCTAGAGGATATTCCAGTTCTGTGTTTCTTTTTATCAAATCTTACATATGGAGCCTTGACATATAATGATTGGAATCTGCCTCGAGGACCCTGCAATTCCTCTCATGCTTATAACATAACAAGCTCTGGTAAGTTTATTCAATCCTAGAATAGGGTGACCTATTCAAATTCCCCAAAACCTCAAAAATATTGAGAAGACTTTTGCTTCAACAAAACCTGTCTGTATTCTAAAACACAGGTCCGCTTAAACTGAGGACTGAGAAAACGTGGATTCATGGAGCCCCTATACCACTCCCTGAATATTCCTTTAAGAAAACCAAATTAGCAGTCACTTCTTCTTAGCCACAGCACATTCTCTAGAATATTCCTTCTAATGAACAAATAAATCCTCAGGGCTTTTCTAGGGTTCCCTGTGCCCCTACATGTTATATTTTCATATATGAGAACCAATAGCAGCCCTGGGGTTATGTTTGTATAAACATCTAGGGTATAGGAGGCACTTGTTTTCTGAAACATTTAGGAACCCTTGTTTCTGTTCATAATGTTTCAGAAACCCAATATTAGGCCCGCTTTCTCAGGCTGCTTTCTCATCAGAGAAGGGGCCAAACTTTAGGATCCCAAGACTACATTTCTGGAAATCAAGAAGATGAATTTTGGTATTTCTTTGGGAGAACTTTCCAGCCTTGGTGAGGTTATGGAGTCCATAAACATGATTAGAAACCTTTCTGTGAGAGTCTGGGTGGCTCAGTTGGTTAAGCATCTGACTTTGGCTCAGGTCATGGCCTTACGGTTCATGGGTTAAAGCCTTGCATCAGGCTCTGTACTGACAGCTCAGAGCCTGGAACCTGCTTTGGATTCTGTGTCTCCTTCTATCTCTGTCCCTTCCTTGCTGGCTCTCTGTCTCTTTCTTTCTCTCAAAAATAATAAATAAAGGTTAAAAATTTTTAAAAAAAGAAACCTTTCTGTGATTCTAGGAACTTTGGTTGAGGGTATTGCTCAACTAATAGCAGCTCAAAAAAAACAAAACAAAACAAAACAAAACAAAACAAAAACACCATTAGACTCCTTGACACAGGTAACCCCGGACAATAGGATTGGCCCTAGACTATTTTAGGAGAACAAGGAAGAATGTGTAAGGTAATTAACTCCTTGTGTTGCATCTATGTTCATTCTTCAGCTGAAGTAGAAACCTAAATGAATTAGAAAACAAGTCACTTGGCCAAAACAAATTCCTGTGAAAATCCCAGAAATAAAATGGGACTGGTTTTCTAATAAATTTTCCAGGATTCCACAAGAAATTCAATTATCTGTCCTAGCTGTCCTTTTTATAATTTTTTCATGAAATGCTGTTCATGGGCTGCAAAAGTCAGGACCAGCTTGATGGTTGTCAAAAATACTGAGGTTGAGCCAGGCACCAAAGAGTTCTCACAATTAGGAGCAAAAAAGTTTCATTTCTCAAAAGCCAAACTTCACCCCTCTTTGCAAGAAGTAGTGAAGAAGGATCGTTGCAAGAAGTAGTGAAGAAGGATCCCCATGATTGAGGAATTATAAACAGGATTAGGGAACTGGAGCCCAGTACATGCTTCATTCTTCACATAAATTTTCTCTAGGCTCTTCTACCATTGTAACCTTACATGTTGCATATAAGTAAATTCCTCTACAGCCTTGCAAGAATCACTAACTTTGTTCCTTGCTTTCTTCTTCCCAGCATGAGGTATTGGAACCAAGGAGGGAGGCTACCTAATAATGTTTGTTTTATAGATACAAAGCCAACATGTAATGCTATGAGACCCCCAGATAGAGCCCAGATGTCCCAATAGTGCAATATCTCAGAAGTTTCAAGTTTCCCCTCTAAGTACCAAAGTCCTTCCAGTTCCTGCCCTAACCACCCCCCCCCCACATATCTTCATACCTTAATAACTACATATAAACCTATCTTAGACTTAACAAAGGCAAAGCAGATTTGGGACTGATTCCCTGTCTTCTCATGGGGCTGCCCTTCTGATAATAAAGATTTCTCTCTTTCAAACCTGGTGACTCAGAGTTTGGCTTACTGTACATGCCTGAATCTGACTTCAGGGTTTGGTAACAAAATGCCCCTTTCCTCTCCCCCATTAGGCTGTACTTTTATGAAAAACTATCTCTGAGAAGACCTGCCAGGTTAGGGCATTCCCTGTACACACAGGCCAAACAATACAAGAGGTCTGAGGGCAGGAAGTACATGGGAAGCAATGAGCAGGCATTGGCTGCTCCAGAGCAAAAGACAGAATCCTTGGGTTTAGACCGAGATTAGGGAGTATACCCACACCTTACCATAGAAACAGGTACTTGTGGGGTAGACTCAGAACCAAAGGCTCCATCATACTCCAAAGCAATGGAGCACATTCCTGTGGTCTCAACTCACAGAATCAAGGAGCTAGTTCTCTCTGGATCTTGATAGACATCCTGGGTCTGGACCTGTAAATCCTGAATACTGGACAAGGTCCTGATCCAATAAGGACAAAGGTGCATATGGGGTACCAGGATAAGCACTACTGAAATCTCTTCACCAGTGGAACTGTGCACAGGCAGGCTGCCCAAGTGAAATGACTTGGCAAGCAAGGGAAGTCTTTATCCAACTGTGGGTATGGCTCTAATACCTGGCAGCAAGAGCTCAGGAGCAAACTGGCAATTTTCCTGCCATTCTCAGCATCCAAAGTGTAGTATGAATCACACAAGGTGACAGAAAGTCGGACTGACGTGGAGAGAGATAAAGTGTACATGAGGGCTTCTTTTATTGCTTTACACTATAGCTTTGCTCTTGTTAGTGTCACTTTCCCTGATAGCTTTGAACACTCCCCCAGATAGATCTGTGTATATATCCAGAGCATCTGCATATATATCCAGAGCATCTGAAGGGTCTCAAGACTGTTGTTTTACTAGGCAGTAGTAAATAGCCTTATCTTAGTAGTGGGTAGGCCTCATGGTCCTGAAAGCCTTACTTCCAAATTCCTTAGAGACTTCTGCTATCCTTAGCCCCCACTAACTAGAAAGTATATAATTAGTCACTTCTCATAAGCACAAAAGCAGTTCTTTTTGCACTGAAAATGTCTCAATAATTCTTTCTTGACTGTTCACTCCCGCCCACATCACATCACATCACATCACATAACATCACATCACTTTCTGCAATTATACCAGTAAGTTAAAATATAAAATAATCCAGATAGAATAAAATGAAGCTGAGAAAGAAGTAGCCAGGGTGGGGCCAGTTCAAAACATATGTTTAAGTACTTTAAAGTTATAGGAGGTATTGTTACACATTTTGTCTGAGTTTTCTAGAGATTACAACAGTTTGAAACACCTCAGCCCCTAATCCCTGGTGAAGTTTTCACCTCAAGTAACAGGCCTTCCCAGTGATCCCCAACCTGCCACCTGCACCATACAGAACTAAGACTCACTGATGGTGTTGGAGAAGTGAATAAAGTATGCCAAAGATGGCCAATGGGGCTAAAACAAGCTCTGGTCTCTAGCTTAGAGACCCTCCTCCAAGTTCTTCTTCCTTTTTTTTTTGTGCATGAGGCGCCCCCCCCCCCCAAATATGGAGGCTTACAACTATAAATTACCCTTCCTGCTGGCATTCAGGGCTCAGATCTTTGGAGAAGTGGTCTCCTCTGAGCCCGTTGGCATTAAATAAATCTCTGATCCACCAAGATCTGAGTGCTGCTTGGTTTTTCCGCCAGTGTGCCAGCCTGGTTCCATAACACCTCTCATCTTGCTTTTCTTTTGTTACAGCAATACTTCATTTTCCAGGAAAGGACAAGTGACATGCACTCTGGGAATCAGTAAAGACTGTTTATTTTGCACTGGTGTTGGCCCAGCAGTGTCACCTCCAAAGGTGGAGCATCCAGCTCAGGTTTTACCCTTCTTTTATACATATGTGCTTCTGGGATGGGTAGGGCTAGTACAGTTAGGCTTCTGGTTCCTGGATAAAGGCTGATACAAAAGGCAAGCAAGATCCCAGAAGCCAAAAGCATCCAAGAGGAGTATCTGGCCTTGGACATCTGGCTGCCCCTTTTTATCTGCTTTTCTACAGCTTTCCTTCTCATTCCCCCTTCTTGATTCTCAAGATGCTGTAGCAGACTTAGAGAAAATCAGTTTGTGGGGGCAGGGAATCCTTTGCTACCACAGGAGGAGGAGCAAAGACTGTTTTGGCTTCTTTCTGCTGGACAGGGACATCAAAGGGAGGCTTGTGACAGCTAGGGTTCTTCGCCATCCAAAGGAGAGTAGTGACAGCTAGAATGGTCCAACTGAAGCATCATCTGGAGTTTGATAGCTTCTAGGCAAGAGGGAACAATCCTGGTTAGCATATTAAGAATACAAGGATCAAACAGGAGGGCTATGACAAGCATTAGGAGAGGAACAGCTAGAGGGTGGAGCCAGGAGGGCCAATTCTATATGTTGCTCCAAGAGTTCCATGGGTCTGCTAATTCTTGCCTCTGCTTGATGATCCATTCCTTTAGTTGTTGGGCCATATCTCTAACTACCCCTGACTGGTTAACACAGAAGCAGTGTTCCTCATTTAGGAAGAGATATATTCCCCCCTCCTCAGCAGTTAGCAGCTCTAACTCTCTTCTATTTTGTAATACTACTGCTGCTAACGAGTCCACCTGCTCTTGTAAGGTTACCAGGGAGTTTGTAACTTGTTCTATGTCATCTGTCAGATCTTGGGATAGTTTTTGGTAAAATGAAATAGATGAGGTTACTCCCCCAACTCCAGTACTTACTCCGGCAGTGATTCCAAACCCAATTAGTAGAGGTATAGCTTGGATAGCTCGTTTAGACTCGGTATGTGCAGCCAAGGGAAATATAAGAGATTGGTTGTTGGGGAGAATATTTATTTGGGGGGGTGGTTAGGAGTGCAAAGGTGAAAATTCCCATCCATTTAGCAGGCAAGCACAAATAAACATTAGTTCCACAAAGAATATTCCCACAGGGGGAAGACATCAGGGTGACTCTTGGTTTTTTACCTGTTTGATTGTATATCTCAGTTTGGTTGCATTGGTTGTTAGTTAAGTTATCTACAGGGGTTGTTCCCCATTAGTCCTTAAAACACAAGGAGGCTGCCCTATTAGTTTTTTATCAGTAACCATGGACCCTATTGTGACAGTTATGTTATCTGTTGACATGTTGTGGGGGATAGCCATATTGGTTATATCATCTGGGACTGGGGTAACCTCATAATGCAAGGGGTTTAGAGAGAGACAAAGCCAACAGTCCTTGGCTAACTTAGGGTTAGAGAAGTTGAAGAGGAGATGGGTTGAATTTAGAATATGGTATAAACAGGAGTTTAAATCATAAGGCCCACTAAGCCTGATTTCTGGAAGTTTGGGTCTCCTGGGCAGACTTCCAGAAGTCTGCTTCATAGAGTTTTGTGCCTCTTGTTGGGTTGCCTCCTTATAGGCCTGGTCTTAGACTCCTCCTCCATCAGACAATCCAAAGTGGGTTTGTTGTGTCCAGCAATCCCATTTGTCTGGATATCCATGACATGATGTTCCCTGCCAAAGGTATTTTGCTTTAATTCTTCCTTGCCGACAGGTTTTTCTGTCATGGAAATAGAGCAAGGCAGATTGATAACATTTTGCATGTTGATATGTATATGTGGTGAAGACCTTGTATGTGGTCCTCTGTCCTAGGAGATGCTTTAGGCGATTCAGTGCATTGGAAAGGGAGGAGCTTGTGTGATAGGTCCTGAAACATTCATCATTACATTGAGGAGGGGCATCACTTCTTATGAGAGAACTCAGCATTAACAGTAGGAGAAATTTCATTTTGTTAGGGTAGATTCCTGACAGTTTCTTATTCCAAGTCAGGGACAGCAATCATAACTCAGATCATATACATCTAAAGACAATTAGGCATCCTGACACTAATAAGTAGAGGAAGGCTAACAAGAGTTTGTGACAGGCACCAGTCTGCAGGAATAACTTGGGTTAGTCCCACTGCAAAGAGTATAAAAATGAGTATGGAAAGATAAATAGGTAGGGGGTGACAGTGAAATTTGAGAGAGAATGATTTGTTATAGTTCAAGTTGCTTGGTGATTTCCTCGAGGTTCTGGTTACAGAGAGTTCTCAGGTGCTGGATGTAGGCCACTTAGCATCTGCCATCTTCTTAAGGGTGATCTGTAAAGGATTATTCTGGTTAGCAGTCACTTTCTATTCCAAGTGGTTGTCAGGTGGCAGGTAGGCTACCTTTATTCGAGAATGTTGGATCCAGGCGGTTAGTGCTGCAACATTGAGGGCTGTAGGTGTGGTTAACACAACTAAATAGGGTCCCTTCCAGGTAGGTTTGAGTGGTTCCCTTTTCCAGTCTTTAATAAAAACCTGATCCCCAGGTTCTCCTAGGGAAATAGGTGTCCTGTCCTTCATCCACCTATGTATTTCAAATACAGTTTTTCCTAATCCTTTTAGTTGTTTTTGTATGTATAAATTCTCTAACTCTGTCAGGTCCCCCTTGAATTTGACTACTGGAGGTAGGATAACTGAAGGATCCTACCTTCCATATAGGATCTCAAATGAAGGGAATCCTATTTTTACCCATTATCTTATTATGTACAGCATATTTGGAAAAGAGCTAGGGGTAGTATATCTGGCCAGGGCAAGTTAGTTTCCTGACATAGTTTTGCCATGGCTGATTTAAGGGTTTGGTTCATAAATTCCACTTTCCCTGAACTCTGGGACCAGTAGGCCATGTGTAAGTTCCATTGGATACCTAGAGTTTTGGTTATTTGTTGCACCACCTCAGCCACAAAAGCTGGGTCATTGTCTGAGCCTATGGTTAATGGCATCCCATGTCTGGGAATGATATCCTTTAGCAAGGCTTTGGTTACTTCTCCTGCCTTTTTGGTGCATGTGGGATAGGCTTCAACCTAGCCTGAAAATGTGCAGATGAATACCAGAAGAAATTTGTATCCTCCACTGGGTCTTATTTTAGTAAAATCTACCTCCAAATCTTCAAAGAATGCCTGACCATAGCGTTGGATTCCCATGGGCCCAGTTTGGCATTATTTGGCGTTATTTTGAACATAAAGGAGGCAGAGTTGAGAGACTGAGGCACAGAGGGATGGGAGTCCAGCAATTACATAGTAACGGCTCAATAAGCCTTCAAGGGTTGTTTTTCCTAGGTGAGTGAGCTCATGCTGTTGGAGAACCACCTGGTGGGCTAGCTGCTCTAGTACATAGACTCTTTGGTCTGGAAGTACCCACCATCCTTCCTTTGGCCTCCTTTTTCCTGTTGTGCCCATTTTGTTTCTTAGTTTGTGTACTTTGGGGAAGTTGGCAGTTCCAGGGCTAGCGTGATTTTTGAGGGTGTTGTTTGTTTTCCTGTTGCTTGTTTAGCTGTGGCATTGGCTTGTCAATTACCTTCTGATACTGAGTCCTTTCCTCTTTGGTGTCTCTTTCAGTGGATGACTGCTCCCTCCTTCAGTTTCCAGACTGCCCTTAATAGTTTTGGGGTTTCTTCCTGATTTTTTATTTCTTTTCCTCCTGCAATCAAAAGTCCTCTCTCCTTGTATAAAGTCCCATGTACATGTAGAGTGGCAAAGGCATAGCGCAAGTCAGTGTATATGTTGGCCCATTTGTCTTTACTGAGTTCTAGTGCTCTTATTAGAGCCCACAGTTCTTCTTTTGGGGCTGACCATCCTGGTGGAAGGGCCTTTGCTTCTATGACCTCAAAATCAGAGACTACTGCATAACCGGAGTATCTTTTGCCTTCATGAAGCTGCAGCTGTTGGTGTACAGGATGAGGTCAGGATCTTGTAAGGGCCTGTCTGATAGGTCAGGTTGGCTAGAATAGACTTAATCAAGTACCTTAGACAATCATGCCCACTGCTGCAGGCAAAAAAGTGGCAGGGTTTAGAGTTTTTAAGGCTTCTAATCTTATTTGTGGGTTCTCACATAGGCGTCTCTGATATTGTGTCATCCGAGCCTGACTTAAACGGTATTGCCCTCTGGAATCCATCAAGGTAATAACAGAAAGGGGAAACTTAATGCTTGGGTTTTGCTCCAATGTAAGTTTGTCTTCTTTGATTAAAAGTGGGGTGGCTGCCAAGGCCCTCAAACATGGTGGCCATCCTGCTTCAACTGAGTCAATCTGCTTTGAAAGGTATGACACTGGTCTTTGCCAAGGTCCAAATTCCTGGGTCCACCCCATTCTATTCATGTATGAACAGGTTGAAATCTCATGATACATCTGGAAGTCCCAAGGCTGATGCCTCTGTGAGTTTTGTTTTTATGGTTTCAAATGCCTTTCCTTTTCTTGAGTAGGACCCCAGAAAAGGGGTGCCATTTCTTCCCCCTTTAGTGCCTCATATAGAGGTATGGCCAACTCCAAGAGCCCTGGCATTCATATCTGACAGAACCCTGTTGCTCCCAGGAACTCTCGGACCTGCCAGCAGGTAGTGGGAACCAGAATGTCACAGACTGCCATTTTCTTTTGGCTCCCAGCATCCGTTTGCCTTGGGTAATTTTGAAACCCTGATATTTAACTTCCTTTTGGCAAATCTGTGCCTTTTTCTTTGATACCCAGTATCCCACCTCTGCTAGTAGCCTGAGTAGGACTCTCTTTCCCTCTCTCCCAGCACTGGGTCTGCATGGGACTGGTTAGCAGGAGATTGTCCACATATTGGAGGAGGACACATCTTAGGCCCTGTCCCAGAAACCTGGCTAAGTCAGATGCCATCGCCCCATGAATAAGGTTGGTGAATTTTTGAATCTTTGCAGCAGTCTAGTCCAAGTGAATTGTTCCTTTGCCCCCATGGTAGGGTTTTCCCATTCAAAGGCAAATAGGGGTTGACTATTAGATGCTAGCTGGAGACAGAAGGAGGCATCCTTTAAATCTAGACATGTGAACAATCTTGCTTCAGAGGGTATGAGTCTTAGTAGAGTCTATGATTTAGGCAACGCTGAATGCAGCATGACAACTGCTTCATTAATGGCTCTCAGGTCCTGTACAGGGTGGTAATTGTTTGTCCCAGGTTTTTGCATGGGCATCAAGAGAGTATTCCATGGGGACTGGCATTGTTTTAGAAGTCCCCATTTGAGTAGCCTGTCCAAGTGTGTCTGGATCCCCGGGCATGCCTCCCATAGTACCATATATTCGTGTATTTTGATAGGTTGGGCCCCAGGGTTCAGGTCAATTAATATTGGGGGGTGGTTTTTTGCCAGACCAGTAGGTTTTCCTTCTGCCCAAACTGAAGGGAATTCAGCTCCTAGCTCGGGGAGGGGAAGTATATAATCTCCATTCCTCTTCCTGTAGAATCATCAGGGACAAAATCATGGGTTGGGCTTTCATGTTTAGGCACAATTGCATCTGTCTATCTGAGGTGAAGGCCATTTCTGCACCCAACTTGGATAATAGGTCCCAACATAATAGTGAGACTGGGAAGTCGGGTAGATACAGGAATTTATGAACTAGTTGGTGACCTTCCCTCAGCTGGCATTGTCAGGGATCACAAAATGGCCTTTGGGTTTGCATCCCAGTGGCTCCTACAATGGTAACTTCTCAACCCGACAGAGGTGCCACTTTGTGTGTCACCACAGAGTGTTCAGCCCCAGTGTCAACCATGAAGTCGATTGTCTGGCCCCCTACCTTCATTTTGACCATGGGTTCATGGGGGCCTATTTGGATAGAGTCTGGTCTTTTCTTTTTTTTTTTTTTTTAATTTTTTTTTTCAACGTTTATTTATTTTTGGGACAGAGAGAGACAGAGCTTGAACGGGCGCGGGGCAGAGAGAGAGGGAGACACAGAATCGGAAACAGGCTCCAGGCTCTGAGCCATCAGCCCAGAGCCTGACGCGGGGCTCGAACTCACGGACCGCGAGATCGTGACCTGGCTGAAGTCGGACGCTTAACCGACTGCGCCACCCAGGCGCCCCGAGTCTGGTCTTTTCTAATCAGAGCCCACTCCTGCCAGTCCAATCAGGTCAGCTTCAAATGGTTCTGGTTGGTAGTGGCTGGGTGGAGCGGAGGTTTTTGGTTTTCCTTTTTGGCAGTTGGGGCATTCATTTTTCCAGTGTCCAAATTCTTTGCAGTAGGCACA